GTCACTCATAGTCATAGATCTTGTTTGTAGATAATGATGAGTTCGTTCAAATTCTCGAATGATTTCTAATTCATTTAGGATGACTTCGTTTTCATTCCTTATGTTGCGTACAGTTTTTTAATTTCTTTAACTTTCTTCTTTTGATCCTCATTCATGTACTTTTTAATGATAAGTGACACACACTCTTCTACACCGTTAACCTTGACCTCCATCTCCTTAATTCTGTTTTGATATTGGGTCTCCTTTCAATGAGGTCTAGTTTTTTTTAGCTTATAAGACACTTGTTCTTACCATTTTGATATTTTTTTAAAAGTCTCAAGAATATCAACATGCTTGTTGGTTTGGTATTGGGGGTATTAAAGATAAAAACCCAGCAAATTGGCTTTGTGATCCCTGGGGCCCATAAGGGGTGAACAGGTTTCCAAGTTCATTTATTTCACTCACACCAACAATCAGTGGTACATGACGTACAGTATCTTATAAGTCGTCATAGTTCAACTGTGTGAAAAAAAATTAATATATGCAATAACATAAATGAGAGACATATACATATGTGTAACGGGAAAATTATTGGGGGCACCCCCCCCCCTTCCCCTTCATTCCAACGGCCATGCGGATGAAACCTTAAAAACCAAGGTCCCGTGTCACGGTAGGAGTTGGCAAGATTTAAAAAAAAAAACCCTTCACTTCTCAATGGCCCTAAGTGCCGATTATAGGTATACAGAAACCCTTCGGTATATGGTGGCGTCTTGTATGAGTGTAAAATTCTCACAGGGGACGTAGAGCAAAAATCAATCAGTTTATTCTGATACATTAATTTTCATGTTCAAGTAGAGAGACAATTAACACATAACATATCATATCTGTTACATAGGTTTGAACTGTGTCATGTGATCAGCGTTAGTGTATTTCAACAATTAACCTTTGACATTCAACGAAGATTGAATATGGATCTGCTTAAATTAGAAATTAAACTTTGAAACGCTTAATCTTACACATCAAATATAAACATTTTACAATCTTAATTTACTTTTTACTCAATATAACTAAAATTTCAGCAATTGTTCTTCTTTCATGTGATCATAATTAAAGTACTATTTTTTGAAAGTAATGTGAACATTTTCTAGCTTTGCGGAGTTATCCTTCTTAGAACCTCTAAGATTTTTGAAGTTTAATTTCATTTCTTTGTTAAAAACAGTTTCACGATAAACGATTTTGCAGCCACGTAGTATCGTTTTTTGAAAGTGGCGGTGGGAGTGGGAGGGGGCAGCCAGAAAATATATTACAAAAATTACAACTTTTCTGAAAAATCTTTGACAATCTAATCTAATCTAATTTCTCTTAGATTAGATTAGAAAATCTAATTTCTTAAGGGAGAGGGTGTTGGATTCTATTTTTTTTCTCACACACAAATGGGATGTTTTAACTATACTACAACAAGAAGTTGAGTTGAGGGGGCAACCGCAATTTAATGGAACATTTTCAACAGTTAAAGGTAATTCTTGGGGGAAAATGCGGGAATGTTCCCTCCCTCTCCCCAATACTACATGCCCGTATTGTAAACGTACATGTTTACAGAAGTGAAATTAGTAATAATAATTAATACGTATCATTTTTTAGCCCTGTAGTTAGTAACTAAAAGTTACTATTTGTTGATATATGTATCAAGTACTTTTCGACAAAGGGATAAAAATGAAGTATTTAATTACGCCTTGCCATTATTTCTTTTATATGTACAGTTAGTAGTAATTACGCCTTGCCATCATTTCTCTTATATGTACAAATAGTAGAAATAATACATGATTTCCCAGAATTCAAAAGCTTCGGATTAGTTTTTTTTATATGTTTATATGTGTTTCGTACTAAAAATTTTATTTTCATTTTCAAAAATTCTCAAGTTTAATTCAGAATAGGTACTAAGTGAGTAATCTGATGTGCGATTCTTTTAATTAAGTGACAACAAATTGTTTAACTTAAACAGTTATATAAAGTTATGTATTTTCTGGGAAATGATATACATGTATCCATTTATTTGGTCAATATAACTTAGAACTAGTCGTAATAGATATTTGATTTCCTAAGTATTTGTTGTTGAATGCATGAATGCCCTTCATTGTCAATTAGTAAATGTAAATAAAAGCACTACAATTATATTATTTAAAGTGATAAAGTCAAACATTATTCATGTATATATTTGATCAAAAACTGTTTTTATACCTAATTATACTATATAGTATACATGTATAATCTGTACATTGTTTATATTTTTACCGGTTTAAGAAGAGAAACCAGGAAGAAATTTAAACTTTGTGTCATTTTGACACCGGCCTTACATTTAGTGGCATATTTTGATTCTTATATTTCGTGATGTCGTTTAACTGGACTTTATCTTACCTCGTTTTATGCATTGTCTTGGACGCTGTCTATTGTAAGTATCTATACTTATAAATTAATAAATTTTGCAAATAAGGACCTGCCATAAGCCTGTAGGCTGTCAGTAGAAACTAATAACAATATATTTTCTGTCGGTAGTGGTATAAATTCAATTCCCCGCGCTTGCGCGGGATTTCATCTAGTCTTTTTTTTTATTTGTGAGGGTAGGAATGTGGATATAGGTTTCAATTATTAAGAGTACATACTGTATATACACTCCATAATTACAAGTACAAAAAGTAAACATATATATATACATATATATTTATATATATATATAGAGAGAGAGAGAGAGAAAGAGAGAGAGAGAGAAAGAGAGAGAGAGAGAGAGGACAAAGAAATTCACTTTTATAAGGATACCCACTTACGCCCCAACTCGGGTTTGAATTATCGGCCTATGGAATCTGTCTCCTAGCAGTACAGGAACAGCGCGCTAGACCGCTGGGCCATCTAGGCAAGTCAAAATCCTTGCTTTCGATGCCCATGGAAGGAGACAGATTCCGTAGGTCGAGAGTTCAACCCCGGTTTGGGTCGGAAGTGGTATCCTTATAAAGTGAATTTCTTTGTGCTTTCTATATTAATATTTCTTCACTTAGGGCAGTTATGTTAGTTTAAGAGTTTTTGTAAAATGTGCATTATAAATCAAAATTAATTTCATTACAACGTGTATTGGTAACGATCCTCTAGCTAATAAAACTAATGTCCAAATAACTGTATTTCACTTCCATTGACCGTGTAGTGTAGGACATTTGTATGAAGTTTACATATTAATTTACATATATCAAAGAATTTGTGTAAAAACATTTCTAAAAAGTAATTTTATTGTTAGACAGATGCTCAGAGGTGAGACATTTAACCCACTGCAGGAATAGACATTAACTTTTAGATTCACTTGCCCTTCGGGCAAGTGATCTTAAACTTTGACTTGTCCGAATGCAAAACTTTGTTGCCCAGAATTAGGAAAGAACTTTTGAAAAAAAGAAAATTATTAATCACTGTAAATGTTATGATAAGAAAAAATGTGACAAAATACACTACTGTCAATTTGGCAAGTTGAGCTACCTGAAAAAAATTTTGATGCTGCATCTGTACATAAATATATACCACTGTACTTGTGAATTTAACCTTTTAACACACACTTTCATGCAGCAATATCCTTCCGTTTCCTTTTCATAAAATTCATATTTTTAAAAAATTATTTTCGGTAGGATCCTTTTGTGAATCGTGATTTTCGGAGATAACTGTGAAGCAACGCTAAAGGAAGATAGTTGCTACGAAACATACATCTTATCTTGATCAGGATACATCGTGTTACACTGTACTTATATTCTGTGCGTGAATAAATAATCTAATTTCCTATTTAAGAAGTTAACAAAATTTTGTTAATAGACGTAGAGCGTATTTACTACGAAAGAAAATAACGAACCCGATTTTTAAATGAACGATATAAACCAGAAACGCTACCAAGGAATTCCGAATGCAAAAACATTGTCATCCAGGTGCGTGTGGATATCAAGTGTTCAATTTATTGTGTTATTTATAAATTAATGTAAACTAAATAAATATGTACATTTGTATAAGAAAAATTCACTTGCCCGATCGGACAAGTACGTCGACAATTTCACTTGCCCGAACTGAGAATTTACTTGTCCCGGGTAATCGGACAACCGTTAATGTCGATCCCTGCACTGATTAGCTGATCATTGCATATTCGGACAAAAAGTCATATAGGCAATCCATGATATATTTTCAAATATTCTACACAACGCGATTAAAAATGTACTATAATACTGTTCATGACCGTGAATGTTCACGTACATTGCATATCAAAGAACCCTTTCTACTACCTCCATCATGACCCAAACTTTTGCACATACATGTATTCAGTAGAAATTATTTACATTCAGTGTAATTTTCTTTATGAAATTCATTAGAAATCCCGACGTACAAATCTCTATAACACACTCGAAACCTTGTCACCGAGGGGTAGAATACACAATGGGAACTATATGCATTTTCAATACTCTAGGAACACCAAAATGTATATTGTTTTGATTCAATTTAATGAAAAAAAGCTACCCTGTTAAATAAACGTAAAAATACAACTGTGCCTTAAAAATTAATTTGTCATTTTTTTCCTCGCAATGTTCATTTGTAATACGTCACAAACGGCTCTTACGAAATAAACAATTATGAAGAGAGAAATTTTTCGGCACGGCCAGGTGTGTTATAGGACAGACGACATCCAAAAATAAGAATTCAATGCTTAATTTTATTATATTGTCTGATATCCATTTAATTTTTGCCAACATTTGACCCATTGAATTGGTAAAACATATATTCTGTTGATATGAGATAAACAAGTCTTATGTGTTCTGAAGTGAATAGAATACAACTGATCAGGTATTAACTGAAGCAATTTAAATGCATGAACTTGTATTATAATAACTATGAAAATAGGAATTGAACTTATTTTCATGCAGCATAATGACAAAAACAAAAATGTACTATTTTATCTAAAATCAAACATACTTTGCATGTCTGTTTAAATTTTTTTACAGTGCAGTGCGATGAGAGTACATGTTCTTGTCATTGTTTTTGTTGTTACACAATCGGGTGTCCAATTGATGGCACCTGTTCGACCTGTTACAGAGAGTGGAGCGGTTCAACATCCAATTATTGTCAAAGAGGTAAGTATATTCAAAAAATATATCTGTCTTATAAAGTTTTCGTCACACGTAGGACTAAGCCACTGTGAGTTGCGGCAGATATCTTTAATGCTTCATGCTATGAAAAATCAAAGAAACTAGGTTACGATTGTTACTGTATGTGTTAACTAAATTTGGTGGAATTTGATTGTTTGTGATATGAAATATTTTTCTAAAATATCGAAAACTGTTTAAAAGGGGAGGGGGAAAAACATTTATTCACACGACCTACTTCAGCTACGTCATAGTCGCTGATTATGTAGGTACAAAACATTATTTTAATCATCGGTTGCAAGAACGTTAGTTAAAAATAATTAAACTTTAAATTCACGTTAACTCATCGTTGAAATTACCGCTAATTGAACTCCTTCAAAATGTAATTATCATTAAAAACAATTTCACTGTAAAAACAGAGTTTAAATAGAAGTACTATGACCACTGAGCGCATAAAATGATACCCGCAGCTACCATATGAGTATTATGGCAAAGTGCATTTCTAGGAAATATGTAATGGGATTCTGTAAAAATTCCATTAAATATCATTCAGGGGTTTAGGGGGAGTCGCGTTTAACAAAATGGGTACCCCCTTTTTTCATTTTTTAAATTTCATTAAATTGCATTCAGTTGTGTAAGAGGAGTTGAGGATAAATGATGGCTACACCCAAGCGTAAGGAACAAACGGACAACCTGTTATCACTATGCCCCCCCCCCCTTTTAAGCGGGCGTATAATAATATTAAATGCTTAATTATCATCAACACGGAAAGTTCATCTAAAGAAATAAAATATTACTCTAACAGTGAATAACTGATGTAGTAAGACTTAACATTTCCTTAAGCAGATTTAATTTAATTTGTTTCTACATATCCTACTCTCATTGAAAGTATTTTTTTATATAACACGGAGACATCTCAGATGAGTAAAAATCACTAGCGAGGAAAACAACAATCAATCAATCAATATTTCACAGATAAACAGATGTGATACAAGTCCGTAGGAAGCAATTTCAGGAGGGGGGGGGGGGGGCAAAACCAAACATTTTCATACTATATATAGTATTCTATATATCGGTTCCTACGGCCAAGTGATAGTAATTCTGAATTATATACATGTATTTGTAAAGCTAATATTATTATACGGTTCTAGGTCACATGATAATTTATTGATAATTTTATTTCAATAAACAAAAAGTATTGCATAGATAATGAAAAGAGGGAAGACACCGAACAATGACTGATTTCCCAAAAAAATCTATAAACAACACAAATCCGTGAAGAGGGCATAAAACACTGACCACTGGAAACAGTGGGGTTTTTTTCGGTTAGTAAAGTTGACAAAAACTAAGGTTTAAGTCGTCGTCTATTATCAGAAAGTGTCAAGGTGAAAACCTTTTAACTATTAATTCCAATAAAGTCGAACAATAGGGTATATTCAATTCAATTTTATTTTTAACTACATCTGTAAAAGAATATGTATTATAATCAAGCATTCTCTAATCTTTAAATTCATTTTCTTATGTCTATTCAGTGTGCACATGCACGCTTAGAAACAATCAGATAGTTCCATTTGTTGTGTGTCTAAATCATTAAATGCATTTTCAAAATACTTGTCAAGAATAATACATCTTTCATCTTTCAACTTTTTCACAATTACTCGAAAAGAAATGTTTTTTTTTTAAATCAATTTGCAAAAGGTTTTTACTTTTAGAAAACATTGCCTACAATCTGCCAACAGTTTCACAGACTTCAACATATGAGGATCGAGATGCCAATTATGCAGTTGATGAAAATGGGAGAACCTCTTCAAGAACTGCGACTGAGGAAAATCCCAGTTTTTCCTTAAAATTTTCAGAAGTCAAAAAATTAAAATACATATATATCGACATATACGAATTGAGTAAGATAATCACAGAGTGAAAGGTGACAAGTGTATAAGTGTGTGGGGGATGTGGTGGGGGTCAGCCTTTTATTCCTCTTGGCATAGTGGTTATAGTCGTGGAATAAGGAGTTCATCCTTCGGTCGTGGTTTCGAAACCCATAGTGAGGCGTAAAGATCGGTCCTTCGGATGAGATAATATAAACCGCATCGCAGTAGATGCTTGCACGAACAATCTGCCCATGGTGAAAAGATTGGAGTACAGGTTTAAATTTGTAGCCTTCCACCGGTATTTGTTGCATCCCAACATAAATGGCATTTTTTTTAAGAATCACTAAGCAAAACAGACAACAACCAAACTATCGGGTGTGGGGATTTAGGACAAAGGTCATAGTAACAAATAAGCAATGTTTTGACACTATTTGAAGAGAGTTATTTGACCTTCAGTATCATATGACGAAGCTACTCATAGAAATGGTAAGTTTAACTCACCGGCGTCACGCCATAATGATGAGGAGAAGGGATAAAAAAAGTCTCCTTCAGATTTCCCTATTTTATCTCTGTATGGGTAGATATAGATTTTACCGTATCAGAGTAGAAATTGCAAACTTTTGAGATTGTTAAAAACAAAATAATTATCTCAAAACAGAACGTCGTTCTTAAGGCTTGGGTTTCTCCTTCACCACAAAACTGCTTGATTTCAGTTTATAAATCATATGAAACTTAGGTATTTATTTTAAAAATGAAGATACCTTCTCGGAGTGTTGTCCGTAAAATATATCATTTGAATTTCAAGCTCATCGTCATTGGTACCCCAGAAAATGACGTTTAGCGTTAAAATTGTCATATTATACCTATAATAGTTAAAATGTAAAAGGTAAAGATAACGAACAGTGATCGAGCTAAAAAAAAATCCATAAAACAAAACAAATTTGTGAAGATGGCATAAAACACGGACCCCTGGAAATCCCAGAGGTGGGATCAGGTGCCTAGGAGGAGCTAGCAACCCCTGTTGACCGGTCACACCCGCCGTGAGCCCTATATATTTATCTGGTAGTCGGAACTATCTGTAATCAATCCGGTGCAAAAACAAAGGCCTAACAATTGGTATGAAACAAGTCAGCCAAAAAACGACCCAATGATAGGTTATTTTTGCTAACAAGGTCATTATAATGACCATACAATTTACGAAATGTTGACTTTAAACAAGGCTGTTGAAATCCCTGTAGCATCATCTTATCAGTGAGTAGCCTGCCTCGCTTTAAAAATTGATCGTACTCAGAGCAAACTTTTGAGTAACGAATAAATTGGGAGACATAATCACCATAAGCAGATGATAGTGGAATATTACAACATAAATAAGGAAAGTTGACAATGGAGAAGCTAAAGTCATCTCGTTTGTCATACAATTTAGTTGTCAATTGGCCTTTATCTTTTATAGTCAGCAAAATATCTATAAATATGAAACAAATGGGATATATCGAGTCGATATACGACTGAAAATAACTACTAGTATAATTGTTAATTGATAAATCATCGTCGATATATCTGAATGTCGAATTAAAGGCCACAGCTAGTGTTTTCCTCTTCTCCTGTAGAAGTTTATGAATAAATTCTGCTTCATAAATATGGTGTACACAAAGTTTACAATGCAATTTCTATTTTCAATAGAGGTATTAATTGCTTAAAATGCCTTTTGAACCTAGCTGGAACAAAAGCTCAAATCTTTGTCAGTTTTAACAATATGGACAAATGATCAATGGTGGCAAAATAAAGGTCTTCAATCTTGTAAAGTGACAAAAGAGTAATTATTGTATGATTAGGTATCCTCTATGTTGAATACATCCAGTTCTCCACGTAATTAAATCTTTATCACTGCTGAAGAGCTATTTCAATGAATAATGATTGCTAAAACACTTTTTTTTCTTCAAAATAAGAAACAAGGAACACTTCTATGTGTATTTTTTTTTTCAAAATATCTCAAAAGACAGGTCTGCTTTAAAAACAATTTATGTTTGGTACCTTTGAAAATTTTTGAATTACACAATGACGTCCCTGCACACATAATCTAAACAATATATTTTAACTAGGGCTGGGACGATTCAGGGTTCAATCGATTCGGTTCGGTTTCGGTTCAGAATGATACGGTTCGTTTTTTTTTTCGATTCGGTTCGATTTAACCTAAAACAGTCTAAATATTTCTCATCATAAATGAAAAATGATAACCTCTGCTTTAAAAAGTGATTAAAATCCTTCACTCCAGTCTTCACAAAAACTTTTCTGAGACACTAACAAGTGAGGCTAGTGGATTTGACATTTTTACTAGCTAAAGTAAAATTTCTTCTAGCCCAGAAAAATAATAAAATTTGAAACCTTTTGTTGTATTATTTTATTCCATTTCATAATAAATTACTCTTCTTTTCATATTTCTTCTGCTTATTTTCTCATTTTGTATTTTTCTTCTGAGTCAATGATACATAAATAATCAGCGAAATTACTTAAGGCTGAATTTAACAGAATAAACAATCATGCTATATATGGATACCTTTTAACATGGTAGTATACATGCAATTTTTTTTTCTGATCATTGGAATTCCTCTTCCAATATAAAGTGAAAGCTAGGTGATTTATTTTTTTTAATTCAAATTTTCAGAAACAATGTTAATATATTTTTGATAACCCTTGTAAATCTTCAGTTAATTAGTTGAATAGCTGGATATAATTAAATCAATTAATGTAATATCTACATGTATTTTCCATAAAATCGGAATGGAGGAAATTCGGGTTAGTAGAAATAAGACGATCGTTTTCATGGTTTTTAGAAATAAATAAATAATGTAGAAGTGCTAAAAGAATTAGATAGAAGAGATATGAACAAGAGAACCACACTTCTTTGATTTTTTTAATTGGTTGGGGATTTAAAAGCAAATCTTGGAAAATACCTGCTACTTTTTCACTAGCCCGTCGGGCTATTTACTAGCCCATAGCAATTTAAACTAACCTCTATTGTAAAAGTAAAGGGTATTTATGGAATTAAAAAAACTAATCACTGACTTCAAACTAGCACAATCATTATAAAAAGTATTAAATTAAAATCATGAAAACAAACACTTCTGATCTCCAATTGGCGGCCATTTTTGTTTATACGTGTTATGTAAATTTTGAACCGAACCGAACCGAATTCCGGAATTCTGGATCGGTGCACAGAATCGAACAGTATGAACCGCGGTGCACCGAAATTTTCGGTGCACCGCACAGCCCTAATTTTAACAACAAATATATATACATGTATATAATCTTACAGTAAATTTATCATAAGTTTAATGCTTTAATGACAAGATGTAATTATTTTAATCGTTATTTTCTAGATACTTTCACAATGAAACAGTTAATCGTCTGCCCGATTCGAGTGCTTTTTTTTAACTACATATTATTTCCTTTCATAATATCACATTTGTACAGCAACATCTTATAAGATTTTATTACTTTGATTTATGCACCTTGAGCTTGGCAGATAAACTGTATCTATCACGAAGAAAATGTTTTGCATACATAGAAAACTAAATATAAGACATTGGAGTATACAAACACTGTCAAACATTCCGTTTTGCGTGGACTCCTTTATAGTACCTAAATTAGAAGCCCTTCACCGGTAAATGGTGACGTCTCTATATAAGTGAAAAATTCTCGAACGGAACGTAAAACGACATCCAATCAATCCTTTAAAGTAAGTTCCCTCCCCCCTTGCTTGATATACAAGTAATGTCATTTTTGTTGCCTAAATTGCAGATCAGGAATGGCTACAGGTAACGGATTGTACAAAAAACTCAAACGAATACTAGTATTAAAATACAGGAAGAATAATACATGTATATAAAAATATCTCTTGAATATATGCGCCTTAAACCTATGCGCCCAGTGGATGCGCTAGTATTTAAGTAACTCTACATTGAACAGCTTTTTGCGATCATGTCAAAACCTTTAAATAAGTCTGCTCTCCTTTGGTTAAGCATAATGTCACCATTTTTGAAATTTCTATCAATCTTAATAAATTTTCTTTGTGTCACTTGATTCGATTATCAAATCGCAATGAAAGACCATACAGAGTCTGATATATTTACATCTGCTTATATGTATACCTACTGACTTTAATGGAAATATTCATCAATTGCATTAATGATTTTGTATAATTTGTGAGTTAAAGTTTGTATTTGCTGCACTTTTTCCATGCAGTTTCAATCTGATAACATAATGCATGGTAATGGGTATACCATGCAGGAGCGTTGACCCTGTCCCTTCCGCTCCACTCCCCCTTAAAAAGAACGAGAATTTTAAAATCAACAAAGACAGGAGGATAACGATATATATATTTTTTTCTGTGGTCATATTAGACATTGAATTACTCAAGCAGAAACTGGTCAATTAGAATTGTAGATAAGAAAATCTTTTTCTAATCATATTGACAGGTACCAGTGAAGCTCGTTATGACGTCTATGTGAGAAACTTCACTGAAACCTCTTTAACAGATGCCAAGTTGTGTAGAACTTTTACATTGTCTTCAAGGGGGAGAATTTCGGGTAATCTTACGTGTGATCAAGTAATGATCGGTGATTCAATTGTCATCCACAAGGCTGTCAGCTGGGGGAGTTTGATAATCTATGAAGTAAAAGTGTATGGTAAGTAACATTTATATTCCTACTTAGTACATCTACACTTTATATTCATGAAATATTTGTTCTTTATTAAAGACACCTTTACAGTTGATAATACTAAAATAGATGCAGTGAATTTTATAAAATTTTAATAAATACATGCTGTTAAATAAATTTTCTTGAGCTATCAATACAAAAAAAATTCTGATTTGCCAAAAAGTTTTAAATTTTGCGTTCAAATGCATACTTCAGTATTATCTGAAAAAGAAGTATGACAGTTGATTATTATCAGTTTTTTCTTGTCAACTTATTAACATTGTGCATTGCATTTCTTTATCTATATGACTATATACAAACGGGATTCCTATTTCCTTTTAATTAAAAAGGCAAAGATAACAAACAGTGACCTACAAAAAATACAAATTTGTGCATAGGGCATAAAACACGGACCCCTGGAAATTCCAGAAATTGGATCAGGTGCCTAGGAGGAGTAAGCATTCCCTGTCGATTGGTCACACCCGCCGTGAGCTTTATGTATTGATCGGGTAGACGGAATACTCCGTAGTTATTAAAGCATGAAAACAAAGGGCTTGGTGTGAAATGTGTCAGCCCCCCCCCCCCCAAAAAAAAAACGACCCCAGTGATAAGTTTATTTGCTAACAAGGTTAATAACTACCATAGAATTTACGAAATGCTGACTTTAAACGAGTTTGTGGAAATCCCTGTAACATCAAATTACATGCAGTAGCCTGCTTCGATTTGATCATACTCCGAGCACGTTCTCGAGTATCAAATAAGTTGGGAGACGCAAACATCATATACAGGTGATCAAATGTTACTATACAAACTAGTTGCTGTCCTTCAAAAGGGACTGAAATACGTGGCCATAAGCATGTGTTTCTAACTAATAAAATTTTAATAAGTAAATAAAAATTTGTGTTGTAATGATAATGAGTTGTAAAAAAGGTTTCTTTAATCTTGAAACATGTAATTTTTCAGTATAATTTTACTTAATTATAGTAATTGTTTAATTACTAAAACTGGGTATCGATTATACAGGCCCACAGGAACAGGGGAGAAAAGGGGGGATGTGCTAGTATATGCTTTACTATAGAAAAAAAAGTTAATTTACAGTTGTGCACTCTCTATAGTATTACCATTAAAAACTATACAATAGAAATGTAAGCAATTTTTCGGCCACACACCTTTCAGAAATGATCTTTTTGCTTGTCAAGAATTTCTGTTATTTTGCCCCCCCCCCCCCCCCCTCGGGAAATTACTTCTTACGTGAGTGCACAAAACTGATCTGGGTGTATGTCCTATCTTTTAAAGTCTTTTCCTCAAATAAAGTTTTTAATTTAAACTGTGAAGCAATCTGAAATCTTCCTTCTTTTGAAACGCTTTTACCATAGAAACACGATCTAAACTGGAAAATATTTTACCATATATATACATAAATATAGAAGATTTTTTTTTAAATTTACAACTGAAGAGTAGATGCAATGTTTAGAATTTTAGCGAGTTCTTTTTCGAGTGGGGCGTATTGTCCTAAAGGCAAGTTGTCCTAGGGGCGAACTCTCTTGCATTCTGAGGCATGCACAATCCTACTTATCTCCATTGCAACCGGTTCAACCTCGCTTAGTCATTCTACGATAAATGGACCAATTCAGAGTAAAAAAAAAAACATGAAAAAAAAATAATTGTTTCAAATAGCAAAATGAACATCATAATTTTCTAAAGGACCTATCAGTGAACTTGAAAACAAAAAAATTGTCCACAAATCTGGTATCGTTAACTTCTTACAACAATTTCAAGATACCATTGATTTTAATGTAATGTTACGGAAGTTAATGCTTGATTCAGCCTTATTATTTTTTAAATAAAGCTGAATTTGACCAATTCTGATGTTGAGCAAAGAACGCTCAAGTATGATTCATGAAGTCTCGCATGAATCCGAATTTAAATTTTCGGGAAAAATATCGTTACGGAAGTTAATTCCCAGCAATAAAAGTTAAAATTCTCTTCAATAGTTAAAATCAAAGTTTGTTTTAGGATATTAAACAAAAGTCTAAAGCATTTCGCCCCCAAAATAATAAAAAAAAAATTATACCTTTAATACAAAAACTTTCCTAAATTACCGTTACGGAAGTTAACTTTTTAAGAGAGACAACTGTTTTTGTGTAATTCATTTTGTTATGTCGAAAATGTATTCGTCTAAGACAGCTGACTCGAAACTAGAATCGATGATATAAGGTTCCGTGGTCACTTTCAGATAAGTTTCAGTTCTTTTTGAAATCTGCATTTTATGCTTGAAATTTAAAATCAAATCGTTACGGAAGTTAATCGATTTTAAGCGACATGCTTATGCATTCGCACAAAAGGAGATCTATGCATTTCTTTGCGAGAAGTGGTTTGATTTCTTTTTTATAAAGGATAAAAGACATTTTAAACATTCATTGCAATCTATTCGGAACGATTTTACGGCTGAAAATTTCATCTTGAAATTTATAAATAAATGAAGCGACATTAAGATTTGCAGTGGAGTACGTTTTTCAACATTACATTATGTTCATATCAAAACTATAACTGCATATATATCGGTGAATATTTACAAAACAATGTGTGTATGTTAAGTCTTTGAGTTGAAATCGACCTTTAAACTTATAGTTAAGATATTACAACTGTCCTTTATTGGCTCCTTTATTACAAGAGCAATAAATAATTCAAATGAATTACGTCAATTCTCAGATTCAAATAAATTGGGAATCATTACGTGTATTCCGAAAGCAGGAAAGGAAAAACAATTTCTGAAAAATTGGCGACCCATTAGTCTTTTAAATGTGGTTTATAAAATAGCATCAGGATGCATCGCTGAACGAATGAAAACTAAATTGGATAAATTGATAAACAGAGACCAAACTGGATTTATTACATGTAAAGGTAGATTTATCGGAGAGAATATTAGACTGATATATGATATAATGCATTATACAGAATATAATCAAATACCTGGTCTGTTGATGTTAATTTATTTTGAAAAAGCATTTGGTACAATCTCTTGGAATTTTATATATCAAACCCTTGACTTCTTTAATTTTGGACCTTCTTTTAAAAATTGGATTAGAACCTTTTATAATGGTATTAAATCATGTGTTATACAAAATGGATTTACTTCAGATTATCTTTTCCCCCAAAGAGGCTGTAGACAAGGTGATCCAATCTCACCATATCCCTTTTTGCTATGTGCTGAAATTCTTGGAATCTTAATTCGAAATAATCAAGATATTAAAGGTATAACAATTGAAGGTGAAGAGTACAAACTTTCGCATATGCTGATGATACCTCTCTTATCTCGGATGGTTCACCAAGATCTATGGATGGTATTCTCCGAGAATTAGATTATTTTGCCAATATATCAGGTTTAAAAATAAATTTCTTAAAAACTAAAATGATATGGATCGGAAGTAAAAAATTCTCAAAGGAAGTATTCCATCACTCGAGGTGGAAGCTGGATTGGGATAATACAAATTTTGATCTTCTAGGAATAAAATTTTCAGTAAACTTGGATGAAATGCCTGATTTAAATTATTCCATAAAACTAAATGAAATCAAAATATTGGTAAATAAGTGGAGGTTGAGGAAACTTACCCCAATTGGAAGGTTAACAGTAATTAAAACTTTAATATTACCTAAACTAAACCATTTAATTCTTACTTTACCAAACCCTAAGTCAGAATTTTTGAAGATGTTTGAGACAGAAATGTATTATTTTTTATGGGGTAGCAAAATTCATAAGGTAAAGAAAAATGTTATAATCCAGGACTATAAATATGGAGGTCTTAAAATGATTGATTATACAGAATTCATTTCTGCTCTCAAATCAAGTTGGATCAAAAGACTTATTCACTCAGATGCAAACTGGGTAAAACTATTTGAAGCTGAAATAAAACTAGACATAAAAAAATCTTTGGATAAGGGGTTCTGATTACATTCTGAATCTTTCAATAAGATTAAATAATGTTTTTTTGGAAAGAAGTTCTGTCAAGCTGGGCAAGGCTAATTAGGATAAATCAAGAAAACGACAGACATGTGCTCTTTGAACATATATGGAATAATCCAAAGATTAAAATTAACAATAAATCTTTCTTTTGGAAAAACTATTTTAATGAAGGCATTGTTTTTCTTATTGACCTCTTTAACAATGATGGTAGTTTTATAAGTTTTGACTTAATAAACTTGAAAGTGAAAACAAATTTTATTGATTATAATGGTCTTAGGACTGCAGTGTTAGATAGACTGAAAAATATAAATACATGTAATAATGAAATTAAAAATATAAAGTCAATTGGACCACATATTCCAAATTCCATTTATGTGTATTATAAACACGATAAAGGTTGTAAGTACATGTACAATATATTTATAAGTAAAAAGAAAATAACAAAAGAATCTAAATTTCAATGGCTACAATTTCAACTATTACATAGAATCATCCCAACTAATTATTATCTATTTAGACTTAAATTGATTGATTCTCCGGCATGTACTTTCTGCAGAAGTGACATAGAAACAATCGATCATTTATTTGTAGAATGTTTTTATGTAAAAGAACTCTGGTGTACCATTGAAGAATGGATTTTCAATAAGTTTAACATCCATTGTAGTTTTGATAGACAAGCAATACTATTTGGTAAATTTGAAATATTTCAGAATCTTTTAATACTTATCGTAAAACAATTTATTTTTGCTAGTAAATATAAAAAGGTCCCAAAAATAAATGTTGACGCTGTACTAAAGGGGATCACAGATAGAATTTTTATTGAAAAAGTTTTGTTGTTTAAAAGTTGTAGATATGAGGAATATGAAAGGCATTGGCAAACTATTTGTGATGCACTGAAATTAATACAGATATATATACTTCCTATTACCTATTTGATTCAGAAGAAAAAATTAGATTGATTACTTATCATTTTATATAATTTGTAATATAGAATAATTTTTTTCTTTTGCTGACCCCCCCTTTT